GGCTCCTCTAGATGCTCTACTATACAGGGAGAAGGCGATGAAACAGAGGGGGGTCAACGCTGGTGGGATGGCTTTGGCTCAGAGGTAAGTGGGTTGCATGGCCAGGAGGTAAGTTGGGCTGCAGCCTAGGCTTCTCCCTCCTCTAATTCTTTCATTTTTCTCTTTTCTTCAAACGAAAAACTTGCGAGAAAATAAAAGCAAGGGTAGAGATGGAATTTGGCAGAGATGGAGATATTTCTAGAGTCCTGGATTTATGCCCAATTTTTAAAATGCCATGATAATTTCAAAAACTACAAATTAAACCAAGCTTGAATTTGATTCAAACTTGAGAATGAATTTTGAATCTGCCCATAACATTTGCAAACAAGCAAAACTTGGTGGAGTCGGTCATAGGGGTTTTAGGAATATAGCGAACATTTATTGGAATCGGGAAAAATGTCACTTGAGATAAATAGATAAAATGAAAGAAAAGAAACTAGGATGGGGTTTTGGACTAGATGGTGGTTGAGTTGGTTTGGTGGCAAGAGCAAGAGGCAAGAGGCAAGATGAAGGTGAGAAGGAGTATCACACAAGATCAGAACACAATTAAATGTGCCACAACAAAGCAATGATGATTATGATGCATGATGCAAAAAAATGAAACACACATTATGTAGCATGCAAGCATGAAGATAATAGAAACTAATGGGGGTCTCAGTCTTGGGTTGTCACAACCCATATGTGAGAAACATTGGCTAGTCAAACATGGTGGAACTGTTGTTAGTGATGGATTTATCATCATCGAAAACTATGATGAGGGATAGACCGTCCATCTAAGGTGACAATACTGCAAGTATGAGGAGATTGAGTAAAGCAGACTAGCCATGTGATGTTGTCTTGGTGTCATGCAAGAAATACCGATGGTTTTTAGGTGCTAATGTTGTAGTTATATGCTTAATGCTCTGCTTATGCAATTATGCATGTGTATGACGCTTACGCAATGGGTTGAGGCACCATTTGTGTGTAAATGGATTGGTGTCTAAATGCATCCCTTAGATGGTTCTTCGTATAACTTACTTGACTTGTTTGTCGGGGTAGACTTTTGCTCGGTGGGCACAACGGGTCATCGATAAGTTTATAGGTAAAAACAACCTTTAGATAGTCATTGATACAAACGCAATTCGAACGTTGGGCTTCCTTTTTCTTCTGTTCTCCTAATGGGTTGTCGGGTCATGCCACTACCTCTTATCGTCCCGCCCACTTGGCTGGAGGGTTACCGGGTCATGCCACTACCTTTTGATTTTGGGATGTGAGTTCAGTCTTTGAATGATGCGGTCTGGACAGACGGCGCATTCTGCCATGTCTTCCCATCCTTCGAGCGTTTGGTCTTGTCAGACATAATGCTTTGCAATGTCTGCCCGGCCTTTGATCATCGCGGCTGCTTAGATGACGTCTTTTCCCATGTCTGCCATGACTTTGACCCTTGTGGGCTGGCCGTTTGCATGCATGCTGCATATGTTCGCTGAGCACGCTCTCCTGTGGCCCATGGCTCATACATCATCTAGTCGATTCGTATAGTTCTTTCTGCCCCTGTGGTTCCGAGTGGGGATGCCCGTTTCTGACGGTTCAAATTATTTTCCCTAGGGGGTGTGGTCAAACATAATTGCTTGTAGACAATTCCTAAAAGATACCATTCAAATAGTTCACCTAAGTTCTTGTTGCATCCAGTTGGGCTCAGTTGTCCGGTATTTGGACTATGTGGTCTGCCGAGATGCCCCAAGTCTCCTCAATTGTTCCGAGCAGGAGTCCCAGGTTCCGATGGTTTAGGTCATGTACCGTGGGGGTGCGATCAGCCTTTCATCACCTCGACTGCTGGGTTGCCCTGGCTGGCGAAAGGAAATGTGCAATGACCATCATTGTGTGTTGTTGGTAAATATACATGGCAAATACAAACACAATACAAACATAACCACTCTCAGACCATTCGTGAGAAACATCCTTCAATTTTTTTGAAAGATCCAACTAATGGCTGGCATATATTGCTAATAATCAAAGAGCACGCGGGAATACAAAAGTGGTGTTCGATCTAGTGATCAAGGAGATTAGAACAAAGAAAATAAAAAAAATTCATCCGTCGGGCGATAGAGGATTTGAATTTTTCACGGCGAGTCCCCGAACGGGTGCTCTAAATGGGTCGCCCTGCTTGGCGCCAAAAATCAAGAGTCCTTCTCATGCTTGTTGTGATCTCTATCAAACTGGCCACTTTGCCTCTGAAAGTGCACTCGTTTTGCTGGTGCCAAATTTTCCCTAGAATCACGACGATCATCATTTTTACTACCCCGTTGATCATTTTTGTTGTGATCTCAGCTGGCTTTGTTTTACTCTTACAGTTGTCCGGGTGTAGGGAGTTGCAACCAAACCCCCCAACAGCTTTGGTCCAAACTGAAACTGAGAAGGGGCACTTCCCAAAAAAAAGGTGTTCAGAGCTTTCTAAATTCCTTAAACATAGCTGGCAAAAATACTCGTTTGGCTAGCCTCACCTCAGAAGGCGATCATTGCACCGTAACATGTTCTTGAGTAGCAGCCAGACAAAAACCTTGAGACAAGGAGTTGACCACGTCTGCCAAAACAGTTATTTGAAGTTTGCCATGATCAGCCCATGAAACTGACTTTTGTATGAGGAGCTTGTGGAGAAAATTCCCGAGGCCTCATGGCTCCACTTGATTGTGTCCCAGAGCTGGTCGTTTAGCTGTATGTCTTTTTCAAGTAAGCCATCTTTGCAATCTGATCATCTCAGGCTAGAGAGGTTGGGTGTTGTCGTGGGCTAGATCGCCGTTCCAAGTTCCATCTGCAAGAGCTGCTTTCAATGTCCCGTTCTTCCTTCTGGAATGCTTGAACAACTCTAGATATTCCATCTTCAAGGTGCCAGTCCCAGTCCAGGAGCAGTTCCATAAGGTGGCCATTTCTCCGTTACCCAAATAATTCACCTAAAGTTTTGATAGTATTAGTTGCTTCGCTTCTTCGCTATAATTGGTCTTTGCACCAATGTTGCAATGGGTCATCTTGTATATATAATGTTGCTTGAGTTAGATGATTAATTCAGTGTTCTTAGAGATAAAACACTTTGTGCATTCTTGGATTTCCACGCGTGCGATGGCGAATATTGCCTACGTGGTGTTGGTCAATTCATCATGCGTGCAGACTAAGACCTCCGGTGAATGACTTAAATAGTTTTAGGACTAAAATATGCAGTCTTATAGATTTAGAATTAAATTAGACACACTTCCAATTGTTTTAGGACTTATGATGCATTTTACTCTTTCGAATATGTGCGATCTGAAAACTGTATGTTATTTTCTACCAATCAAAAACAATTGGAGTCCTAGCTTTCGCATTTCCAACTAGATGCTTGCAAGCATCAAGAACTAAAATGTTTACCTTCACTTGTTGAGTTGACTGTACGACTAGTTGTACGTAACGAATGGATAGTAGGTCAAATTAGATGGTCATAATACCATTGTCAACTGTAACCATCGAGCCATCTTTTTTAGCCAACAATACTTCTTCAAAAGTAGGAGATAACTTTCTTGGACATTACTTTTGTCACTATTGACGAGATGGTGGGCCAAATTTCAAAAGGAATACTATTTTGTAAAACATGTCCAAGAAAGTTGCTTAAGGACAAGAGGATATTCATAATAGTTTCATCCAATTTCATTTCATAGAAATTTATCTTTAGGGCCCTTTATGTATGGGTTCTTTAAACAACAAAATATTGTCGGGTCTTCTAACGAGAGGATAGACCATTCTTAATGTAGTGATTTTCTCCCAAATGTGGTGGTTTTTTAAATAACTTTTTCCTTGAAACGTATTTTGCATCTCAATGAAGCCTGGACATTTTTTTGATAGAGGTCTACACTTATATCCAAAATAAGAGTGCAAACAAAACTGCTTATGCTTTCTTTGGTTCATAGAATAGGCTTATTACAGGAATAGAAAACTTGTAGAAAATAAGATGACATATATCTCAAATCCTATGAGTATGATTAGGAAAAGAGATGTCATTTGGTTCATCATAGGAATTTTTCCATTGAGTCTAGACTATACCTGGCCATCTGTCAGGTCAGGTCAGGCCTACCAAAGCCCGATGCAAAAAACTGAGCCCCAAGCCCAGCCCATCACGCTAAAAGCCTACTGGGCCTCAGGCCGGGCCTCTTTGTTAACGCGCGAATACGACGTATCCAGGCCCGGCCCGACCCAGCCGTCAGGCTTGAAATCTAGGCCCAAGCCCGGCCCATGGACAAGATCAGGCCAGGCCAGGTCGAGCTTTTTCGGGCCGAGTCAGGTCGACCGGGCCGGGCTGCCCATGGCCAGGTCTAGTCTAGGCTCATGTTTATTTTCCTTTGAAATGTGAAGGATAGGAACCAATCCTATGTAGGAGTAGGAATCCATTCCTATGAACCAAAGGGCTTTAAAGAAAAAATTTCAACAAGAATCCTATCCTATATAATTCCTTTGAAATTCCTCCAAACCAAAGGAGGCCTTAGTGCGGGCGATTAACAAAAATTAATGTTGACACTACAAATCAAGGGGTAATCCACTACGATTGTGTTTGATGGAATAACTAGATAAAGTAGTACTACCTCCCGTCCAAAAATAAGTGTCGGTGGGAGTACGCAAGGAGAATATCACGGGTGGAACAATAATTCAGAAAATTGCAGAGTTTGTAATCCATTGATGCAGTAGCCCCTGGTTCCGACATTTCTGCTATCTCATTTCTACAGTATATTGCCGGGAGCAGGGGCAAGCCGGGCGGGCTGACACTAAAATCCTTTGATGACCATAGAACTATGACACTATTTGATAGTTTCACTAGTGGCTGGGGCGCCACCTGGTGGCGCCTCTAGAGGCAAGATTGTGCGTGCTAATCAAGCTGCCACATTTGTTAACATGATTGTATCACACTAGGCTTAGTTTAGTGAGAAGACAAACAACCCAAATGATATGGCAACAGAAATGCGTTACAGGCAATGCACATACACAAATGCATCTTCCTGCTGGGAAAAATAAGACAGCATTACAGAAATGCATAACGGACAGTGCACATGTATAAGAGAGCTTTCTCTACAGCCACCAGCAATGCCACTGTCGCAAAGAACACCAACTCCGCCTGTGATGCGAGATTGTGTTAAGTACATGAGCTGAACCTTTGTCTATAACAGAATAATTGTCCACTTCAAAAAGTACAAAATGTCACTCTGAATCCTAGCAATAATCTGTACATGCTACTTTTTTCACAATGAATAGCCTACTAACCGATTAGCTGCCCATCATTCATAATAATGTGTACATCTCTCGTGGGAGTTCTTCGCCATTTCTGTTCGACTTTCGGAAGTGTCTGGGCAGACAGTACACAGAAATATCTGTCAATAATCTGCAATCTAGAACCAAATCAAACATCAGAAGGAAGCCGCCGTTCATGGTGCCAAAGTCTCGGCTCGATTAACCAACAATGTTTGAAGCAAAGACCTAATATTGGGCATGCTGAAACTTTTAATGGAGGGAGTAATAAAGTTCCCGCCTAACCCGACTAATGTATCGGCAGTGCAAGAGTTGATAATACAACTGTAACTGAATATGCATGACAAAAGGTAAACATGCCATGATTCAAGGGCACAGAAATCAAATTAAGAGTTGATAATGGTTGTATGGAGTACTTGATTATAATCATTTCTGGAACAATACCCTGAGGAGAGAACAAGTATGTGCAAGTACAGCTAGAACAAAAATCGATGGAGGATATCTAACCTTTGTATTTATATGCCCTGTAGAAGTCTGAATTGGATTGTCAATTACTCTTGCTTGATTCATAGACAAGTCCCAAAGCTTGAACGAGTTGTCAGTGGAACCAGATACTATGGTCGATGCATCTACATACTCGACATAGCTTTTAGTCTTTGTGTGGCCAATAACGAGCTCGTATGCCGAAATTCATTATTATGCATTAAAAAGTGTAAAAGACGAGGGAGATTGACAGTAAAACGTATACATACACAGCAGTACCAACGTGAAGAGGAGAGACATTAGGAAGGTGCGTGACAGCGTGAGGTAGATTCCCAAGCGTAAGTATTTTCTCATGTAAACTCTAATCAGTACTACAACTAAGACATCGAGTCAAACATTTTAGCATTGAGTCATCTGAATATAAAAATAATTTTCCAAAACATTTGAAGATTCAAACATTTTAGGCCACACTAATGCATCGAGCACTGTACATATACCAAGATAAAAGGGGGCACTCTACTCTAGACAAACATTTCTAATCCTTTGAAATGCTTGCATGTTCTAGTGCACCTCTGAAATGACACCAAAGGAATAGGAAACAGAAGAACAATGATTACCAAATAATCTCAAAGCTCGCATGTGATGAACGGGTGCCTCAATCCGCCGAATAGGCAGCGACGGAGTCAATGCCTGCAAGCTAGTGAGGAGCACCAGCAAACCACTGTGAGAAAAAGAAGGGAAAAACAAGCAGTGGAAGGAAACAAGTACATAATGTTCACCCTACCTAAGCAATACACCTAAGTTTACTAATCAAGACATTCACTTACAACAAAGGCCATTCAACAGCTCCAAAAGTCACAAGCCAGAACAAAAGGATGTCAGGTAAGAAACAGTATAACATCCAATTTACTATTACCAATTTCCTTCTTCTTTCTTGTGATGAAATTCACCCAATTCAAGAGATTGCGAACTAATCTCACCAATCCCATGACTCAAGTTACCAATCCATTTATACTTTTTTGTGAGAGGCGTGTTTTAAATAGTTGGCATCCATCTTTTTGAATTCAATATTACCATATAACCTTCCGTGGTCAGACATGATATACAAGTTGAAAGTGAAATAGTTTTCCACTTGGATCGTCTAGTAGTCTTGATCAGATTTTACCTACAAGAGGAGTCATCAGTAAGATAGGAGTTGCCAACAATCATTAATACATACTCCCTCCTTAAAGAAATATAAGCCCTCCGTAAAGAAATATAAGAGGGAGTAATCACTGACTACGTACCTAGAAATTTGACTTCTGATATGTCTTTAAGGCACACATATATCTTCAACCGAAGCAAAACCACATACATATACAGATGTATCTTAGTAAGAACCATCCATCTCCAACTACATCATCAACTGTATCCTGAGATAAATCATCAACTCTGGTCAGAACAAAAGGTCCCGATGTATAGCCTATCTAAATTGATATAAGATCAAACGAAATAAATCTGTGCAAAAATCAAACACTAATCATACTCCACTCAGAGATAATCACATAGCCAAACAAGCGCCCCTTCCGCGTAGCTTAATGGGTTTGATAGCCGAGTATCAGAATATGAGATTCATTGGCAGAGTATGAACCACAAAAAATATTTAGAACTGACAAAAGAAAGGGGATAATATTGCATAATTTTCACCTTTTAAGAGTGCCACCTCATTACAGACATGAACTTTACATGAATTAAAAAGGATTGGTTTCTTTGCTTTAGTTTATCCCCTGTAGAAATATAATCAGTGGCGGAGCCAGGATTCGAGTATAGGGGGGCCGAGTACATATATTGATCTAATCTCGTTGGTAATTACTCATCGCTGCTACTAAAATTGTCGATCATTGGGGGGGGCCAGGCCCCTGCTCGTCCCCCCTGGCTCCGCCCCTGAATATAATGATACATCTACTAATAAATCTAATGGTTCCAATAAATTGTTTTTTTCTGGTTGACAACATGGAAAGTTGTGTCTGAAGTCTGAACTACAACTATAAGGAAATTGATTAAAAGGTGAACAATCATCTACAAAAACATGCATCTATACAGTGCAACAACTGAATGTGTTGTTGCATCTGCTCCAACTTCTTGCTCTCATGCTGAAGTTATCGGTATGTATATACAATAAAATCTATGAAATAGAGACAGCAGAACCTTAATTCCTATAGTATGTAGACATTTGAAGCAAGCAAGTAGCTAACAAATAACTGAATATGAAGCTCCACAGGTCATCTGTTGATCCTGACAACTCGTCGCTTTCTGTTACCTATGGGCATCTACAAAAAGTAATTTTCTTCTAGTATACTACTACCTTGCTTGGCTTAGCAAGTTATATTGGAGGAATCAAGAAGGTACATACATGAGATGAATTTTGAAGAAGGATGACCTCACCTGGCTGAAGGCGCACTGCAAGACGAGGGTTCCTTGCCCCTGGTGGCCTCGACGATCTCCGGCAGCTGGTCCGCGAAGCCGTCGCGAGCGTAGTGGTGCAACCCGGCAATCTACGCATCACAGATCCTCTCCTTTTTCCCACAGAAACCCCAAAGCACCCACTGCAGACTAAAGGATTGGATTCATAGAACACACACTGATTAGCAACGAACACACACATGGAATTGCAGCGGGAGAGGAGGGAGAAAGATAAGATACGTGCACGCCAGGAGATGAGGAGGAGAGAAGTGGAGGGGCCGGTGCTAGGAGATTTCGAAAGAGAACACCACTGGTTCTCCAGATCGCGCCCGGCCGCCGCGCCGACTTCGCTCTGATTTGCGCCGATCTGCCGCCGGCCACTCTGCTCCTCTGCGGTCGTTGTTGCGGCGAAGGATGGGGATGGGAGGACCGAAGGAGGCGGTGGCGGCAACCCTAGCTGGAGCTGGGAGGAGAAAAGGAAAGAGAGCGCTGGGTGCGGGCTGCGACTGCGAGGGCGCCGGCGTTCTGTTTCTTTCCTCCGTCGGAACAGTAAAATCGCGACAGTAAAAATTGCCTAGGTGGATAGCGCGAGCGTACGCCCATGATGCGCACCTTGTTGTTTTGGATGTCTGGCCCGTGGGTGGCCTGGGGCCTAGGCCGGTCATGGCTCCGCCACTGGCCGGAGTAATGAGATTTCCAATATGCTCGTAGTATTTTTCTATCTTTTTTTTAGAACGAAGGCTCGCGACGAGCCCGGTTTTGAATTAACAAAGCCATCAACCGGCCAGGAATTACAACACAGGAACAAGCACAATGGCCGAACGATACAAGGGAGCACCCTAGGAAGCTTACAACTCAACGCCGAATACTAGCTCAAAACAAAAAGAGAAGCCCAAGCTAGTACACGCTGCCGACCGCAGCAAACAAGAACCGAGAATTGCGAGCAGCATGAGCACAACGAGGACCTGCAGAAACAAAGTGGAGTTGTGGACATGATCGAGTCCAAGGTTGGAGGAAATCAAGCATCTTCCTTTGCTCTCGCCGTAGAGGGACCCTTCCCTCTCGCCTTGGATCGAAAGGCGCCGCCGACGGACATGAGAGACGCTCACCCTAGAGCATGAGAGATGCCGTCCTCGAGTCCTGGAATAGTCACAGAGCACATCCTCCTAGGACATGAGCACACCTCATCTGACACACCGAAGCAACCCAGGACACCTGAAAAACAGCGGGAAAGCCACCGGGAGGAGCCACTGAAGGACGAGCAACAAGGACATCAGGAGAGGCCGCAGAACGACGAGGAGCAGGAGTCGTCGGCCGCTGAAGAGAAACACCGGGCGTCCACGGCCAGGGACGTGCTGCTACTGCCGGGAAGAGGAACCCTATCCCCTACCGCCGGATCGCAGACGCCGTACCGCCGGAGCTGAGCTAGACACGCCACCGCCAAGGAGCACCGCACTTGAGGGGAGCGGGGACAGACTTCCCTGCGAGCCAGATCAACCACTGCCACCTGATAACCAGGGCCGCCCAAAAACTCCACCTTTGTCGCCCCTCACCCGAACGCACACTCCCCAGGCGGCGCCCCCAAGGAGGGCACAACGCGCAGCGCGCCGTCACCGCCCAATCCAAGAAGGATTTTGGGCTTTCACCCGGGAGGGGAGCGGGGGTGGATAGGGTTGGGATCTCAGCTACACCTCCAAGGAGGAAGGGCGGCGCCCAAGGGCGTCACTGCTGCCGGGCCGGACCAGCCGACCAGTGGTTTTCCCACGGTCCCAAAACCGCACCACCGGGCACCCATCCACACCAATCCGGAGACCGAAGCTGCTGGAACCGGCAAGGATGAGGGAGCTGAAGGGGAGGGGAGTCTAACCTCAGATCTGACGAGGAGGAGGATCTCCACGCCGGGGCCACCACCCGCCGCAGTCCCACCACCCGCGTGGTCGGGAACGCCGGCTAGGACCACCCACGGACACCGCCAGCCGGGAGGGCGCCGCCGCCGCGCCAAGGGCCGCTGCCCCAGATCCAGAGTCCTCCGCCAGGAACGGAGCGAGCAGGGCCTCGCCGCCACCGTCACCGGCGACCGCGCATGGCTTGCCGGCGGCCACTTCGGGTGGCGACGAGGGGGAAGGAGGTGAGGGGTGGCGGCGCTGGGCGGAAACCCTAGTCGCCTCCCAAGTCGCCCGAGCGGACAACGCGGGGGCTGCGGGGGGGGGGGGCGGTGGCTGTACTGCTGCTCGATCGTTTGATCAAACTCTCAACTGAACCGTCAGTATTTTTCTATCTACCAGTATACACGTTTGCTATTCTCAAACAATTGAGAAATAGCTACTGCTCAATGGATGCTATAGCACGCAGATTATGCGCGGATGAATTGAGTGTCTTACTTAGCTTGTTTTGTACCCATAAAATCAGGAATATATGCGTCTCCAAATTATCACTAACATCAATATATTTTGGATTACACGGGAAACAATTGGGCTATCTCGACAAAGGAACAAAAGTACCTTGTAAAAGATCTGTGGGGAAGATGGAGCCTGATCAAAGCAATGACAATATTTTTGAGCCGCAACCCTGGGAGGGTGAGCGCGTTTTTCTTGCCACCCACGTCGACCGTAGGTTTTCCTTGCCTCCTCATCCTTTCTTCCGAGGGTTTCTGAACTTCTTTGGGGCTCAACTCCACCATTTTACCCCCAACTCAATCGTTTATCTTGCCGCGTTCATTTCCTTGTGTGAGAACTTATTGGGTTGTCGACCTCACTGGGGTCTTTTCAAGCATATTTTCACTTGTCGCTCCCAGACAGTGAAAAAGGCTAATCCGAGTGACGAGAGGACCCAAGTGATCCAGATGTGTGGGGGTCTTGGCATCTAGACGAGAGGAAAAAGCACCTTTCCGGCCATGATTCTTCCCGATTCAATTCACGGATGGCAGTCGACCTGGTTCTACTGCAAAGACCAGTCGACGCCGGGGCAATCGACTGGCCTCCCTCCCTTTACCATGGACCGAGTGGAAAAACCCTCCCCTTTGAAGGTGCTCCCGGAGGAGAAGGCGCACGTGAAGGTGTTGGTCAACCGAGTGGTCCAGCTCATTCGTGACGGGGTCACTGGTATGGATCTCTTGGAGGTCTTCCTTCAGCGGCGCATCCAGCCTCTCCAAGCCCGAGACCACCCGATGTGGATTTATTCGGGTCTAGAAGACTCCA